CAAGCACGGAGGCGGAAGATCCGGAGACAGTGCGAAGGCGCGAAGAAATTGCCACCGGGAAACGTCAGCTGGAGTTCGCCAGTGGAGCCAGCTTGCGCATCCGTAACGATCCGACCAGGGATCCGGAGCCGCCGAAGCCCGAAGATGGCGACCCAGCAGCCGCCACCTCAAGCACCGCGCGAAGAAGACAGAGTCGATCCCCCTCCTCCTCCAGCCCCACCCGTCCCCCAGTTCGCCAACGTACCGATGCAGGCGATAGGCCTTCGTCCTCGGACGTTAACCCGACGTCCCCTTGATTTTCTCACCCTCGAACAGATTCGCGCCCCCGTCACCTTCTGCCCCCATCCTTTCCTTCCCCACCTCTTCCGCGACTTCTACTCGACCCGCCTGCTCGCAACTGTCTATCCCCACCCATCCCTTCAGCCCCCTTCCCCCACCTTCTGCTGGCATATCCTGTTGTTCAGCGTTGCATGGGAACAATGCAATGTGGTAAAAGTCTATTGCGTAGCTACGGGGACAATCCCTGCCTGTCGCCACTATGAACTCTTTCGAGCGGCGCTCCTCCGCACCCTCTCCTCCTTCTATCGTGACTACCTCACTTCCCTCCCTCACAGCGGCGATCACTTTCCTCGCTTCCATCGGATCATCCGGTATGAGGAGCTTCCGGTGACGGTAGAAGGGATGAATCGCTACCTACCCCCACTTCCTCCCCATCGTCCCCGTGGGATCCCCTCCATGTATCGCCTCTACTGACCCATTCCAACTAGGCGGTAGCTCCCGATCACGTGACTATTTCCCCCCCCCACCCCCGCTTTCTCTCTCTCCATCTAATCAGCAGGGGAAAACGACACGGATCAATGAGCTTCGCGAAGATCACGCCATCGCTGATGACGTCAATCTACGCTCTGATTCGACGGGCAACGATAACTGGGGTGCAGAGCACACGGAGAACCGGCGGACGATGATGACATCACCTGGACGACCATCGATGATTCCAGCAGCACGAACCATCAGAACCATAAGACGATTGCAATTGAAGATGACGTCAACATGGACTCTGGCTGGATCGCTTGTTGATACGCTTGGTTCCTCATACATCACTCTGTTATCTCTCTCCCTCTCTCTTTCTCCGCCATAACATGCAATCAGGAGATCGCATAATTTTGGAACCCCTTGCGCGTCACATATGTGACGAACTACTTCCCGAACCCGTGCCATCTTTCGTACCCCTCCTTTTTGTATCATATCAACCCCATAAAAACCCCCGTTTCGTTTTTTTTATTTTGAGTGCCGCGTTTTTTGCCCCCATCTTTCGACAGCCTTTATGATTCCCGGGTTCGGCTTTTTCCTTTTGCAATTCGGGAAATACTTGGGAATTTACGTGCGCCTTAGTGAGCGCACTGGGAATTGGGTCCGGCAGTTGGGATTTTCGGGATAAGCTGAACTTCGACGTGTCCTTTTTGTGTGTGAATGTTCTCGGTCGCGTCGGGGAAAACTCTATGAATTTTGCAAGGATACGAATAGGCGTAGGACTTTTTTTCCCGCGTTGCTCTTTCGCGCGCGGATATGGTGATTTCAATTTTGAATTGGTTTAGGATGTAGGCGAGCTGTAACTGTTTCGGTGCCTTTTTCTTTTGTTTTTTGCTGACGGCGCCACGCATGCAAAAACTTTCTCCTCTCTGTCCCCCGCATTGCTCTCTCCCGCGCTCCTTTTTCCTTCCCCCTCCTCCTCCTCTCTCCTCGTAACTGTTTTTCTCCCTCCCTTTCTCTCTTCCGCTCAGTTCTTTGCGTGCTCATTTCCCCTTTCTTGATCATCTGAATCTTGGACCCGTCTTGCGCTACTTCTCGCGCCTTTTCTTCTCTCCGAGCAAAGCTCGTGAAGTCCGGTCGATCCTTCGATTACTCTCGCCCACCAATCAGACGCGGGGTACGGTAGAATCTGCCTATCGCGCGACGAGTCTGATTGGTTAATCTTGAGTTTCGAAGCATCAACATGGCTTCCGCGAAGCGCTCCTCTCAAAGTCTTCTCCTCCTGCTTCTCCTCTTACACTTCGACTTTCACCCTGCATTCTCCCTCCCTTGGCTCCCTCCT